AAGATCATGCTTTTTTATGCCTGATTTTTTTAATGGGCTAGAATTGCAATGTCTTTCTACAAATGATTATATAATGGAGCCAAATACTCTTAGAATATTATCCTTCTGTCCTTCATACCTGGTTCTTTCTTATCTGGCCGCTACTTCTAGTTGGCAGTCAAGGGTGGTAATGCTTGAAGCGTGATTTTCTGTTTTATGATGGTAGAGCTGCATTAGTATAACTTCCTGTAGGACTGCAGGTTGCTCGCAGTGGCCATACTGTTCTCAGAGCAGGCGCTGTCCTGATCCTTTTTGGGGGTGAAGATGTGAAAGGAAGAAAACTAAACGATCTTTTTATGTTTGATTTGAAGTCATTAACTTGGCTTCCTTTACACTACAAGTGAGTAAAATTTTTCTGCTGTGCTATTTTCTTTGAGAATTTCTTGGATTAAGTTGGTACATGAAACTGCAAAAGGAAAATTGGGAATTAATAAGCATCAGCATGAAAGTTACAACTTTTGGCCCTAATGTACTAATGGCATTACTTGCCTGTCAGATTTTACACCAGCATAGTATCTAGAAGAACATTACATTTTGGGATTACATGGAATTTGCTGACACATTTATGTGCCATGGGCTAATAGATGAATCTAGGTAATAACAATATGTAGTTGCAGGGGGACAGGACCTTCCGCAAGAACGAATCATGTGGCTGCACTTTATGAAGATAAACTACTTTTTATATTCGGAGGGCAATCAAAGTCAAGGATTCTCAATGATCTTCATTCTCTAGATTTTGAAACTGTATGTCAGTTTGGTTTATATTAACCTAGTCAAATTTGATTCTTTTTAGAATTTTGTCTATTTGAGAAGACAGCAGATTAGTCAGATATTGCTAACTGTTGCTATTATCCTGGTCAGATGATATGGTCAAGGGTAAAAGTTCATGGCCATCGTCCATCACCTCGAGCAGGTTGCTGTAGTGCTCTCTGTGGATCTAAATGGTATATCACGGGGGGTGGAAGCAAGAGAAGAAGTATGCATCTATTCTTGCGTATAGAACACCCAGATGGATTATCTTCTATTAGTGAACCTTGAGTAATAAACATTCTATTGATCATTTTAATACTGTAATGGACATGGTCATGATATGCATAATTTTGATAGTTTCATTGTTCTTGATAGCTACATGTTTTCTTACAAAAGGTACCAAGAGAACACAAAGTGCAATTTGCCACTCACAGGTTATAACTCAAATTGAATTGTTTGTTTTTTTTTGGGAAATATTATTGCTAATATTATGTGCCTCTGAAGGCACATATCATAAGCTGAAAAGCTATAAATCCAGTTCTGGAAGATATGTCCCTGTTTTACTGTAAATCCTTCTAACGGAGAGTTGGCCATTCTTTCATCCCAAACTTCCATTGTCTTGCCAGAGTATATGCCTTCTAATCTCATTAAGATAGTGAAACCAAGCCCCATCATGTCTTTTCACCTTGAGCCAAATACTCAATTGTCCCTTTTCTCATTTAAAAAGAAGTTTATCCATTTCCATGTCCTTTGATCGTGTAAAAGAAATGGAAAGGTTAGCCTTGTAACAGTTATCTGACTTTTGTATCAAGAATCTGCCACTAAATAGTCCAGGGAAAATATTTTAACCACTCATTCCTAGAGGCACTCAATCCATTGTGAATTTTAAACCCTGGGATTTTTGTGAATTCTCAATTGACTTTATGATTTTGATCAAGCACGATGGTTACTGTAGTTGCCATTGTGCATAATGGTTATCTTTCTTATATAGTCGGTGGCCTTTGGTGCAGTTTGCTTCATTTGTTCCAATTATCTTTCAAAGAAATTCCTAAAGAATCTTGCATATTCCATATGCCTTAGTTATATGGTCCTTACATGCACTTGTAATATGCCAGTGTTAAGTTTTTAAATTTTGTTGCAGTTATGTAGTTTTTTATCTATATCTAACAGTACGAGTACTATCTAAATTTAAATACTGGTTTTGAGAATCTGTCTAACTGGTATGGAAACAAGAATTCTGCTGTTGTACGTCCTCGGGACTGACACAATTTTTCCTGTTAGGGTAAAGTTCTTATCTATCATCTGTTCATCTTATACGTATGACCCTGTTATTGATTTAGTCATGGTAGAATTTTGTCAAGGAAGGTTTAGTCTACATTTATTTATCTCATATTCCAACTTTAAATTGCAGGACATGCGGAAACCCTGGTCTTTGATGTTCTAAAATTAGAGTGGTCTGCATCCATTATGTCACCTAGTGTTTCTATTACTACCAATAGAGTAAGTTCATTAGCGAATTTTTTTTTGCTTTGTTTTTGAACTGATAAGGTTACATGCTGTTTTACGTTTTTGAGCTAATGTAAAGCTATTTGATGTTTGGGAGAAGTTGGTTGCCTGAAGCTACTTTATCACTAATGCTCCTATTTGCAGAAAACTTGACATTAAATTCATTGGTGCTAAGAAAGAACCAAGCATTCATAATTACTTGTTTTGGGATGATTTGGAATCTGGTTAATTTGAATTTTTTGTTTAAATTGGCCTTTATCTGACAACTTGATCCCAGTATACAGGTTGGACCTGGACAGATGTTGTGGTTTGGCTTGTTTTTGGATATAGCTTTTGGTATATATATATATATTTATTTATTTATTTATATATAAAATGTTTTAATAAAAGGCGACGTTGCCAAGGCAACGCGACGCTGTCTTTATATCATCTGGTAACGGGCGGTCCGTGTACTGATGAGTTGACTGACTGGTACGTATCGCCCGTATCGGACGGTATTATTCAAAACTGTATACCTTGTTCTGAATTAACAAATAGTGGACCCTTTTTGTGTTGGTAATTGCAAACAAATGTGTGATAAGCTGCAAATATAAGTGGTGTGTTTTGTTTACATTTAATATGATAGAAAGTTAATTTGGTGATGTGTCTGTTGTTATGCAGGGGTTTAGCTTGGTTCCTGTTCACCACAAGAACATAACTTCTCTTGTAGCTTTTGGAGGATTCAAGAAAGAGCCATCAAATCAGGTTTGAATCAAAATTGTGATGACCATATGTGATCTTGCTCATTCATGGTTTACTCCTGAACATGAATATTCATTCATATTAACCTGGCTACAGGTTGAAATATTTTTCTTGGTTACTAATGAACATTCAATGATCTGGCCATCTGCCCCATACATGGGATTTTTACCATATGAAGAATGCGCTGCAAATATCAAGGAGCTTGGTGCCCACCTCAAGACTGTTTCTTCCTCGACTTCTACTGATCCTTTTGCTAGGAATAGTCTAGCATCTACACTTGAGCAGCAAATTTCTGGAAGGAAGTCTCTTTCAGATGATCCTTGTGTTTCCACAGACATCTCTTGTCGCAAGCTATTTCATCAAGATCAAGACTTTGGTTTAGCTACTAAGGTCCAGAGGCCCCTTGAGGATGAAAAGTATACAAATGATGGCCAGTTGATGCTAAATAATCCTTCCTCAAAGGTAATTAATTACGATGAACAATTATTTATGGCTATGGTTATACCTATTTGATTCGTTGTCTGTCACTTCATCCACACTTTTAGGCTGTTTGGTTAGATGTTGCTGCACCAGAAGCTGTTCTACTTTGACTAAATGGATATCATACTAGAGTATATTCTCTTGCCGCTTTGACTTGATTCATTTCATTTCCTCGTGTAGACTACATGCCACAGTCCGTAAAACTTAACATTTGCTGAATAGTCTTACATTCAGAGGATGGATTTCAATTTTGATATTATTTTAGCATATTTACCTGCAGATGAGTGTGAAATTTCTTGGATCTGATATAATATTGTTTGATTTTATGTTAGAAAATGCATGTTTTCAGCAATTGTCAGAGGAGCAAAAGGCAACAACCTGAAATAAAGATGGATGTTGCAGGAATTCAAGATAGCATGGAAAAGATGCATGTGGAGTCTGGAGGTACAACCGTTCATCACAAACATGGAATCGGAATTAGTAGTCTTACCGCGGACGCCGAGCATTTGTTTCCTTTGGGGGTGGACGGAGGAGGATTGGTTTTGACAAATCCTACCGACGTATATCAAGTATATGAAACTAAAACGGCAAGCTTGACTAGGAAGAATGTTTTGCTGGAAGAACAGTTGAAAGCTGCAACGACAAGTCGAGAGATTGCTGAGAGGAACTTAAGTTGCACTGTTGAGAGGAAGCAAGACAGGGAGAGAAAACTAGCTGACGCTCTCAGGGAAGTCGAGCTGCTGAAGGATAAGGTGGCAGGCATGGAGGTAGCCCAAGAAGAAGCCAACGGTCTCTCAAATATCGGCCACTCTGACAATGTGAGGCTGGAGCATGATGTGGCATTTCTAAAAGCAATCCTGGAAGACACGCAAAAGGCAAGTCTCGTACAAGTTTGTGCCTCGCTCTCTCTCTCATCTCGCTTTCTCGTCTCTCATCTCTCTCTCTCTCTCTCTCTCTCTCTCTTTTGTTCCCTAGGAACTGCACTCGACCCGTGGAGTTTTGGCAGGTGAAAGGGCAAGAGCTTTTCAACTTCAGGTGACACCATTGATCTTAGTTGAGAGGTGAGATGGAGGGCCTGAGTACAAGTCTTTTTAACAATTTGTTAATATAATAATTGTACAGGTAGAAGTCTTCCATCTCAAGCAAAGATTGCAATCGGGGGACCACAGAGCACCGACACCAAGAAAACCATTCCAGATGTGAATATGATGTTCTCCATTATTATTATTTCAGTAGAGAACTTGTGCCTGCATCATTTCATCAATTTTTATGCTCAGATGCTTCTTTTTTTTTTTTTAAGTTTTTATGCACTTGGCATTTTTTTGCAGTCCGAAAGCTGTGATTTTTTGACAGCAAGTGTAGGTTTAAACTCCATCACTATTCCAACGAGAAAAATTCCAACATCACTAACTATTACAGATTCTAATGGCGATGGTAACAAATGGGCATGAGCGGCACCTGGAGGATAACAAAAGGAGCAAACACCTCTGGATAAAACTTTAATTCTGGTGGCCTCTGTCTGTCTCCTCCACCATGTAGAGAAAGTTCACCCTACGTAGAGGGACCAACACCCCCGTTAACATTAAGATACTAGAGCAGTTCACCCTCTTCTTGATCACCTTCTGCATCGTCAGCTTCATTCTCTTCTTCTTCATCAGGTGCATCCGGATCCATTCCCTGCAAGCACAGAAGAGAGATAAAAAGGGATTTCTGGACCCAAGCACAAGGATTAAGACCGAGTTGAGGATGGCCAGCAGTAAAAATCAAAGAGCAGCAAATTTTCATTAGCCAAACCTTCATCTGCTTCTCCAAGCGCTCCAAACCTTTCTTTGCAGCTTCATTTTGAGGATTTATCCTGATATATAGATGAAATTTCCACATTTTGAATAACATCACCACCAAGTGCAATGAAGCAAAGCAATGTTTCAGAATTCATTGTCAGGGTTCTCATAGGAAGAAGAATGTGTTATCAAGAATGTGTTATGTTGCAAAGCAACATAACAAGCTCTAATGTCCCAACATAATAGTTCTCATAATCAGATATTCTTCTTTTTTTTCTTTTTTTTTGATATCAGGAGTTTTATCAATAGTTTTCTAACTTTAATATGCAAGCTAAATAAATAAAACACAACCAGGAAACAATGAACCAACAATTCCTATTTTGAATGAGAAATGGGTCCAACCAAGCACATACCTCAAAGCAGCTTGATAATGAGACAGAGCTTCTGAAAGCATATTTGTAGCTGCAAAAACCTGAGCTAACTTGATGTGCAGGGAGTCATCAGCCCAGTCTTTAACATACCTCTCCAGAAGTGAGACAGCATCTTTATGTCGTCCCTCAACAACATGCAACTCAGCCAACGCTAAAGCAGCTCCAAGAAAACCAGGCTCGAGTCGTAAAGCGGATTCATAAAACTTCCTTGCCTGCATTTGTAGGTATCTTAATTTTCTTCTGATTTGTAGGTATCTTATAAACGCATTTGTCCGTCTACCAACATTAGGACACGCATCAATCCTTAATTTCTGCTGCTAATAAACTAAAATAAATAAGCAATATAATTTTTCTTTCGTTTTCCAGAAAAAGAACACTTTTATTGGCAGAAGAATGAAGCAGACCTTCTCTCTCCCGCTAGAACTACTAGCATGAACATCCCCAACTAACTTGAGAGCTTTTGCTGATTGAGGCATTAATTTCATGGCCTCACGCGCGATAAAGAGAGCCTCCTTGGTTTTTGAAAGAGCAAGATAAGAACGGACTAGTCCTGCAGAAGAAACAACAACTAATGCTCAAGTGACAAGTAGCATCATGAAAAGTCGAGATGATCACCACCGCAAAATCACCTTGGTACGAGCGAAGATCAGGTCTTAACTCTTGAGCCCCTCTGAAGGCGGTCACTGCAGCATCTGGCCGGTTTAATGACAGATACAGGTTACCCTGCATATACGATAAGAAACCATTAATAAGAAGACAAATAAGACAATGAACAAGCTTAAATGTTGTCTAATTGTGTAAATCATATATGAACCAGCCTTTAGGTAAAAGATTAAAATCATGTCATTACCTTCATAATATGACCTGATATGTGCCTATCATCTATTCTGAGACTCTGTTCAGAAACAAGGATAAGCCAAAGATACATCAGATGATCCAACAGCTGGAACTTCATATCATTAGCCCATACCTTCTCAGCATATGACAAAGCTCTTCGCTCATCCTTCCTCTCCCATAATGCTGATAATGCAACAAAAACTTCTGCTCTAGTAGGATCAATGTTTAGCAGATCATGAACTAACTTATTTAGCTTAGAGATGTCAGATTTCAGCTTTAGAAGCATCGCATATTCATCCATATATGTCACAATGAATGGATCAATTGAACGAACCTGCGTACATCCATGAATATATTATGTTTATCACCAATACCATACCAGATCATGGTAACTTTGATATACCTTTTCAAAGTTCATTATTGCTTCATCATGTCTTCCAATGATAGCTTCAACCTTCAGAGATAATTAGTGGTCAGGTCAACAAAATATTAGATCACAAATATTATGTGGTGAAGAATGAGTTCTTTATAGCGTATGATAATCTGTAGCAGATGTCTATCATGGAATCAAAATTCAAATATAAGATTGCCACCCTCAAATGATGCACTCTAGCAACAACTTCTGCATGACTAGAGGAAACTAGCATAAGGCATCAGAAAAGCACAAATAGACTATGTTAGTTTCAGTTCTTTAGCGATTAGAGAATATATGAAGGCATTAAGCACAGGAACATTTATTTTCTCAGCAGATATATAATCAAGCGGCAAGGCTCTGAATCAGGACGAAATAATGTCAGGAAGATAGCAACAAAATATTAGCCAAAATGAGATATTTTACAACATCATAGATTATTCTTCAAAACATATAGCTCCTCTTGAACACAAATTACACAACCATTTTATCTATGTAATATATTTCAAGCATCTTATTTTAAAATCACTCTCATCAAAATTTCATACAACATGGTAAGTTTGGTTGGCCTTTTTCGAAACTACCACCAATGTTGAACCCCTGTCCTGCTCCCTAATTGCTGATGGTGTACTTCAATTTCATGTACATGCAAAAACTTGACATAATGGACCATAAAAAAATAAAATGACTGATTGCATGACAATCCAAATGTACCAAGGAATTTCTTAGTACATCCTGCTTACATCAGTTCTGTACATAATACAATATGCAGCAAAATCTTGAGATATCATAACACAATCTTCCATCTAATTGGTACCAAATCATGATATTGCTAAACCGCATATTGAAATCTGCACAAGATACATAACGAGGCAAGAACTAAAGAAGTATACTGTTAAATCTTGTGCTAACCTTTGCAATTTCCAATAAGATGTGCACATTATTAGGAAATTGTTGTAATAATTCGGAAAGATGGTCGAGGCCACCTACATATTCCAAAAAAAAATGGCTATAAAAAATTGCAAAGTTCTGCAATTATAATGTCAGCACAAAAGAGCCCACAGTAGAAAATGATATATCAAAGCAACAATGAAAGAAACAAATTGAAGACACAAAACCTATGGTTGTTGGTTTGCACCGTAGAAATTATCATGCCTAAGAATCACAACTGAATATCTGTAAATACTCTGTCAGCTGCAAGACATCTAAACATAAAATAAAATAAAGTATTGATGATTTAGAAAAAAAATAATGTCATGTTCTTATAAGATTACTTTTAATTGGTAAATTTCTTTTACTCCATGGCTATAATATTGATCCAATACCCACTTTTTTGACACATTGTTGAGTGGTGAGACACTAGTATGCTGGAGTACATACCAACTTGTACCGCCTGGTATGACTTAAAGAAATTGATTTTCAAATTTTGACTGATACCAAACTATATTGTCCAGTACCGATCCTAGGTCAGACTGGTAAATACCCTTTGTTATATATCAATCTGAGTAGTTTTTGAAAACTTGTTCCATGTAAGACATGAGTAAAAACATTGCAGCTTCTGGTAAATGTCCTGTTCAGAACTATGTATTAAACAAATACATTTCTCTGAGCATTTCTTTGAATTCCACTTGTTTTCAGATCTTACAAATGCATTTGTTTCTCCTCCTAACTTGTCATAGGGCATGAAACATTCCTTATTACAAGCTTAAATATCAGTGTAATGAATTCATTGGATATACAGATTGTCATTTCTCCCCTTCACTATCTTTTTTTCTAAATTTAAGATGTTCTGTTGTCTACAATTGTGTAAAGGGAGAACCTTGCTCCATTGCTACCTGTGACTCATATGTTTGAATGACGGAAAGAGCCTCTTGGCATGCAGAAATATGGCTGAATTTATAGGATCCGCTTCAAAAGTGCACTGGTTAACAAGTGAATACTCTCCTTTACATATGTTTTTTTTCTCCCATTATTATTTTAAAATCATAACTTACATCAACTTTTCTAAACTTGGAATATGGACTATTTTTCCTTAAATCCAAAGTTCATATAATAAGAGATCTTCACAAGGACACAGGACACAATCTGAGGCACAGTAATAATTAGTAACAAATTTAACAAACCCAAGATGTCCATTTATTTTAATTCAACCAAATCAATTACAGATATTTAAGATGCTGATTGATTTCAATATGGAACATCTATTTCCTATTTCATAAGCATAAAAGAAAGTGTACCTTTATAATCACTTGAAGCAATGCAGCACTGAGCCTCTACATAACGCTGCAAATATTATTTAAAAAACAAGAAGCCAAAAGAAACAACATTAACCTTATAACTATTGTGCAATAGAGAACTGAAGAAGTTGGATAAACCTCCTGCCAATCTAAAACCTGCCGGAGCAAGAAATTTATCTGTTCTAAGAAATGCAACACCAAAATTAGATGCACAAAGATTGATATCGACGAGGAATGAAATTTCTATTTGTTTAACATCTACTCCCATCTTAGTTTATTCTAGGTACGAAAGTCTTTTGTAGCTTATTGCGGCTATCATTCTTGGTAGTTGTCCAACAAATTGTCGTACACAAGGTGTAAATGAAATTTGTCTGACCAAAAGTACTGTTTTGCATATTTGTTGTAGAACTTAAGTGCATTGGTGACAACGACCTTCCAAATTCCCGCTTTAACATGCAAAAGAAGGTTGCTATGGTGAAGGAAAAAAAAATGCCACTAGCTTAATTTCATACAATGAACATGTAAGAACACCCACATTAAATCGAATACTTACCCAATGCTGATCAAATGGACATTCACATAAAAATAATGAATCTTTCGACTTACATGCAACCAACGAGCTGGATCCAAGTGATCGAAGGGTGGCCTTCCTCCTCTACTTGGGGTCTAGAAATCATTAGACAGTGGCAAATATAAGTACCAAAGTTTATTCAGCTGTAGTTGTTGAAAATTGCTTTATTTGCAAAACAAAATGGAAAAGTAAATTATCATATCTTATGATTTTTTTTCACTAAATGTTCCAATTTATTCAATACATACAAATAGAACTTCCGAACACGAAGAAGCAATATGTTTGTTATCTAAACCTTCTACACATAATAAATTTACTGGTAGCATTTGGCATAGTTTACAATCTGAGTTCACCAAATCGCCATCAAAGTTTGTGACTTTTTTTAATATGTTTCTTTTTCATTCTTAATCAGAATGACTTCAAGCAAAGTCCCTGATCATGCTAATGGGGACTCAAAGGATTATTTGATTTATTTTCTTAATATGTCATAAATGACAAAAAAAATTAGTTTCTCATATCTAAGGCTAAATGATAAGAAAAGCGAATAAATTTAACAAAAATAAGGTGGTGTATTTGAACAAAGACCAAACAAAATCTAACAGCAATTTCTACAATTAGATTGTTTACTATCTAGCTTTATTACACTTGTCATTATATTACAAATCCAGTGGCCACAACTAAGGAAAATCAAATAACAACTTGAAAGGCCTGCAAAAGAAATTTGTGTAATTCTATGAAATGACAGTTTATGTCCAAGCACATATCCAACTTCTAGGAAGCAAGTGCGTTTCTGAAACTTAGTACTCTACAGGGAACAAACACAATATTCAGCTCGGGCTTTCTATGAACAAATCTTATCTCTACTGCCATCCAATCTTTAATTTAAAACACATCATGATGTTTTCAATATATAAAGATTGTTAGGCGTTGTAAATACACAAGCATCCAGGTTTTAACTGTGATACTAAGATCACCAAAAGTGAAAAACTAATCTGTTACTATATGTAGGATTTTGAAGTCCATGTTGCCACCATCACCAATATTATATCCCTTAACCTGATCAGGGTGTCACTTGGATGCATTTTATATCTTAGTGTGCCCGACATACCACATGTGATTGCAACTCTAATAACATGATCACCACAACCCAAGTCCAATAAAACATGAGATGAACCCGGAGAGCTACGCAGACGCAGATACTGACTCATTCACTATTTCAATTTGTATCTCAAAGCCAATGCATGTCTCTTTGGGGGCATCACATATAGAAAAGTCCTCTACATTGTTAAGCACATTATGTTGTAATGGTGTCTGTCAACTTTGTTAGAACCTACCAACTCTTGGTATTATGTTTGATTGTGTTGCAAATTCTTCAAGACCTTTCTCAATTTAACAATGCAAGCCTACATCATCCGCAAATCCTTTGACCCACATATTACAGCAATTCCACTAGCCAATGCCACTAAATCTTTGTTCTGTTGTAACTACCGAGACTAGCTAATAAAAAAAACTATGCCATGCACAACAAATATGGCAACGGTGAGAGAATTATAATTTTCATTACAAAGGTCAAGAACAAAATATCATCTTTTTGATATATAAGCAGAATTCACCGAGAAGCAGTGATTGAAGTTGTATACGTTATAGACCTGGGGGAACAAGGATGATACTTCCTTCGAAGAAACTCCTAGCTCAGCCAAAGCTGTAATGGCCTCCAAAACATATGGACAATTCCTGCACAACAATATACAAAAAGGACAAAATGAGTACATTTTGCATAGTTGAAAAGCTTGGTGAGAAGAAACTTTAAAAAATGTTCACTTTTATAATTGTTCTTTGTTTAGGATGTATACGTTGTTTAAGCCAAAATTAACACAAAACTAAAGTTTTCTCATATTTTTGTCTGTTTTAACAAGAATATATATAGACAGTTAATGGTCTTATGTCAAAGTCATTGTGGGTCTACCAAATTCGACTTTCTCATTGAGACTAACAACATTCTCCAAACTTGAATTTTATAACATCTAAGTAACTTTATAAAGACTAAATACCTGAGAAATTTGATGACTCAGGTCTTTCAAACTTCAAAGTATGCTTATACTTCATGAGGTAACAATATAAAGGAAAGTCACATATTAATTTTTCCATTTATAAATTGTAAAAGCTGCACTTCAACATCCAATACACTTATTCCGGTTTGATGATAAAATGCAACATTATACATTTCCTTTAAAATATTTTACATGCTATTAGACCAATTACTTGAATCTGAAACTCAATTAAGTCCTCCTTTGAACCTTCAAAAATTTTCTATTTCCAGGAATTATAAAGTTTATAAGGTTTAAATATCAAAATATATGTCAAATTCACATATTGAACAGTATTTCTTATGAGTTAGCTTTTAACAGTTCTCTCTCTGAAGACTGAACCTGGTCAGAAAATATATATTACAATATTTGCAGAAACCATTTAAATATAAAAAACGCTCGCAATAACCTAATAAAAAAGACTATAACCAGATCTTTTTTAAGTCTGATGTGACCTATTAAATTGAGAAGACAAGTTCGGGATGAGATCTGCAAAGTCCTAGATCATGCTATAAGTGGAAAATAGAATATTAAATTCAACTTCATAAGTGATTTATCCTATAACAACTTTTGTCTTCAAATGTATACTTATTTTTGCTTCCTCAATGAAAAATTTTTACATTTCCTCTTCTGGTTGCAAACAGACTCACTATTGGTAAGTGTAATAAGTATCATACCATGCTAATGCAAACTGCATTATAAGATAGCTTACCAGTGAAATGAGGTCTGCAGGTGTGCAACTAGCATTCACCTGTTTTCTACTTTGATGTGTCATGGCGCAAGCAGGCACAAGAATAGAGCGACATGCATTTAACATATCAACTTGTGACCAGCTTCAAGCCAACAAAAGACTAATCGTTTACACAATGTTATAAGCGTAGATATAAACAGCATGATCCTTAAAACAGGCAAACAACCTGTTCATTGCCATTACCCAGTTAACCCAAAATCGACCCAAGCAGTCTAAAATGAAAAAAATCATCATCAAACAAAAGAAATTTCTAGTTACCAACTCTTGCAATGATACTAATATCACATGAGAAGGATGCAAAAGATAGGTTATTCAATCACCCCATAATATTCCATAAAACAAAGAAAGTAATAGGTGGTGGTTGGAGTACGAGAATGATGAGCAAAAAATTTAAACTTACCAAGAAGAATAAATAAATGACAATATATGTAAGACGATAAGCAAAACAACCAAAATATCAGAATAATGAAGCAAATTTCAGAAATTTCAATATAAGGACTATGACCGCCAACACTCAGCAGCTGGAGATATGACTAGATTAGATAAAAATCTGACTATCTAAATGTAATGATAGATATCAGTGATCTAGAAGTATTCATATTTCTTGACCTTAAACAATCTTTGTAGCATGCAATGGCAGATCGGTTGTGTCTAGAAATCCGATAAAGCTTCCCCAATGTAAGATTCATTCGTAATGTTCTTGCTTTTGGAGGGATTCCTTCCATCTGCAAAATCAGAAAAAAAATTTCACTTTCCTAGATTTAATAAACCAATTCAAGACCGCACACATCAAAGAAATGTTTAAAATCAATTTATACCCGTGTGTAAATTAAAAAATGAAAAATTGGAAAAGTACCCCTGGACTATATCTCTTTCTATCAAGATGATACGCATTGATTATGTGGAAGATATAAGATTTCATAGAAATGTTTCCTAAACACTTTTTTATGCACAAAGAACTGATTTCACGACAAGAATATAGCGGTCTACACTTTTCTTCTGTTTTCTAATTTTGATTATGTTTTGAATGGCTATTGCATGTGTCACAGAGAACTTCCCTCTCAATCCTACTCATCCCATAACTCTCTCCAACTGAGGATAGCCAACACTGACGGTATACCTAGAACATGTGATCTACTAATTTTATCTTCTCTCACCACACCGATAAAAAGGACCATGGACTGATGGTCGTATGTCAAGATGTTCACCACACAATTTATCAATATTCAATAAGTTGGATAGAACTAACGATGAAACGACGCCACAGATCACTGAATATCTATATATTTTCAGCAGCAATCCCACGACAATGATATTCAGATCATCAAGATCTATAAGGAATCCCCTTTTGAACCTTCAAGAACATTACTTGCAATAACAATCTTTACTCCAGGATCTTGGTCTTCACCACTGTTGCACGTCCTTCCTTCCATCTTCCCCATTTTTAAATATCTGGTTGATGAAGCGACACCACCAACAGTAACTGACCCCATCTACTACCTAAGATTGAAACAACCTAACATTTCCACGTCATTGGCACAAGAATTTTCCTCATTTGGTGATTATAAGTGTCAGACGATCAACTTTAATTATAATATCTATGACTACTTTACATTTATGTCCATCTCAACATGTTTACAAGCTGTTGGCGTGAGCATCTGAGGTGTTCATGGTAATAATTAGCCACAAGAGATTAAAATTAACCAGTACATCTATGAAAATATTTCCTCATGTAATATCAACAAGTTCTCCGTATTATAACTGCACAAGAACAATAGGACCAAATGTTTTCAGAACATCAGTTCATATAATTAACATAATAACTCACCTATTTCAAGATAGGACCTTATCTAGAAAGTTAAGCAAGTTTATAAAGATATAACTACTGAATTCCACAAACTTTTTAACAATGATAAATTAGTCTATGGCTGAGAAGATGACTTTGGACATCACACGGAAGGTCAATTAACATCCACTAGGACAATGTTAGACACCAAAGTATAAGAAAAAGGAGGGAATACCTCTACAAGAGCAGGACGGTTTTCGCTTAGTGCGCAATGACAAAGTGTAATTTTAAACTTCACCTGCCAATATGAACACAATGGACTAAGACACAATCTTGGAGATCACTTAGAAAAAAATAAAAATCATGACAGTACTTGTTAACATCTTAGAGAGAAGGGGCTCACCTCATTTTCATTGACTGGGGAGACATTCATTGAATTTGGTGACGATGATCTACTTGACGCAGAAAATGAGCTTCTAGAATTATTCATTGTTTGCTTTGAAATAATTTTGCAGTGTTGAAGTGCTTGTTTGTACATACTCTGAAATGAAATTATAAAAATTTGGTCAGTGAACAATTTTATGTTCCCAGTATTAATATTGGCCAATGCTTCATAAGAACCTCAGCAGATGCAGATAACTCAGGTATTAAACTATTGCCAAGTTGCCAAAAGCCTTATTCAATTTACCATTTCTGATCATGCTAGCAAAAAAGCATTAGACAAGTGTAACGCTCTCACTATTACTCTTATTGCCAAAGATTGTAAAATTCCCTCCTACTGACCCACAAATACATCAAAAGATGATAATGAAACAAATATGAAAAATAGCTAAAAATTATAATGAAAAATAGCACATGGAAATCACTGAGCATAACTCGCTATGCCGATCCAAAACATGAGAGCCGAGTTTCAAACCTTATAAGGATTTTATTTAAGATCCACATAGATCTAACTATAACAATATTAGCAGAGAAGTGAGGACTGAGATAACTCAAGGCCCACATTCATGCCTTTACCAAGTTTAAACTGACAGCAAAACTAGAGAAATTACCATTTGTTTCTCCTGAATATAATCACATAAAACCCATCAGACGAAAAAATAAAAAAACAACAACCATTATATGCATCACATAGACAAGAATATAAGTTCTTGGCAACGTATTACCCAATAGAACACAAAGTTTAGTACATGAATTAATAAATATGTAACCAACTGGTTTAATATGGAACAATGTCCCTACATATCAATAATTTAACAATTTCTTTAAGATTAGAAGCAGTTTTTGAAACATATACTAATAGTTACCAGGGCTCTACGAAATTCTTTCTCCCCGAATAAAGCATCACCTTGAAGAACCTGCAATCAAAGAAAAGTCAGACCAATCAGAATGTGCACATCATACCACAATCTTCACTGAATCGCAAAGTTTGACAAGAAGATACATCAATCGCAGCCACGAATATACCCCATAAGATGACATGATCATGGGTAACTTACCAAGTTATTCTAGACAAGTAAGCCCTTACCAAGTTTTCAGCCTTCAGATATGGACTGGCTTCACTGTTTGTAACCACTGAAGATACAAGAAAGCAGCCCTGTCAAAGTTCAACATGTAATTTCAATGAGCAATTATCTTGAACCCCCAAAAGACATAATGTGCACGAGATCCTTAACAGGGCTTCTCATCCAAAAAGCAAGGAAACCGCTGTAGGTTTCTTATCACCCCAGCCGCAAAACTATAACACGAGAACCGCATCTCACACCTCACTACCACGATCAAGAAACCAAACAAACGATCGAAAAGATTGATACGAAACCCTAATCAAGACCTAAAGATAATCGCCGGAAAAGAAAGAAAGAGAGAAGGAAGGACAGAACCGATTCGCCGCGTTGGCAAGGATGGGGGGAGTAAGGGTTCGGAAGCGGCAATACATGCACACATACCAGCATCTGGGCGGAGTAGAAGAGGCCGTTGTCGAGAAGGGTGGTGATGTGATCCTTGGGAACCTCCATTGACGCCGCTTCCGTCGAGGATGAGGCTTCTTGGGCGCGTAGCGGAGATGAGGAGGGTTTCGAAATGGATCTATCGCCGCTCGTGAGGGAGAGACACAAATTGAAAAGGGCAAAATTGCATATATGTACATATTATTCTATTTAACCCTCTAAAAAGTCTAAACCTTATTATCTCCATTATAATCATATATATATATATATAGTAGAAATTGATTAATCATATATATATTAGAATATAATATATTATCAATTATACATAACAATATGTAGGTTTGAGGTAAATTAGACATACTTTAAAGTGTTACATTCATAAATGAATTATGTTACTTTTAATTATAGAATCAAGATAGAAAAATATATCAAATTAGATTACATAAGCCACTAAAATCAACAAAAAATAGAAAAACTAGTAGAGTGACTATTTATATCATATATTTTTTCGATCGTAAAAAAATTAAGATGAAAGTTTATCATAGTACAATCTTAAATTAATGAGTTATACTCGAATGATATACATAACAAATCCATTAAATATTTTGTTAAGATCATTATGTGATTTTAAAGATTATGCTTTATGAGTGTCACATCATAAATTCTATCCAACTCATCTTAATTTCTTGATACACAAGACAAAAATAATATAAATAATAATTTCATTGATCTTTTTTATTTATTGATGAATTTATAAATTTTAAAATCAAATTTGGGTGGATTCGTGCTTAAACCTTATAAGATCATGTAATGTAATGTATCCTTCGAGAATTAAGTCATTTTACCATACTAAATTTGAATAATAATAATAATAGGTGTTCAGATCGCCCGTAATAAATTCTGAAAAATATACGACTTGATTTGATGAGATAATTAACATATCGATTTTATCATGTCTAAATTATTGAGTCAAAATAGGACTTGTGAGATGATAGCAGTTGTTTGATAGAAGGTGACCTCAATTTAAAGTGATGGTACATATTTGGATATGCTAATCCAAGCTTAAGCAGATTGGATAGAAAGAGGAAGGGAATTGATCACGACGGCTGAGCTAAATCCTACCATCAATCAGTTCTTCATGGAAGAAGGATATTTGCTTTCTCTACAAGCATGCCTTCCTGCATCATAAATGTCTTTGGAGTATGTCGAGCACACCACTAAGAAGACAGACTAATACTCATCATGGCCTATATTCTAAGCCACTCCAACAAGTGATGTACTTGTCCGAGCAAGCAGTTAACTCTAAGCAAGAACATTAGTGTTGCAGTTTGCACTTAGTCTATTACAGTCAAATGTCAGGATGTGCCAAGCAAAGTTTTCTTACTTCTTTCTTTTTGGCTACCAACTCTTCATGTGTAGAGCAATGAGATGATGTGTATCCAAGCCATGCATGCATCCTGCAGCTGTTTCAAGCTTTTTGCAGAAGCCATAGACAAAGAGACTGTAGAAATGCCAACAGATCTGACCTATGAATACGGTGAAGAAACAAAGGAAGATTGACAAAGCTTGAGATTGTTTTGATGCACAGTTGACTGTTAAAACTTTAGTCTTGGAGAGAGGATGTAGCATTTCTATGTGATGTCTCATTCAATGCCGTGATTGATGTTGTTGGATCCAAGAACAAGATATATTCTGTACACAAAACTCCTATCAAGGAATCTAAACCAAGGAAACCAGAAGCAATTGATTCTATCAGAACATGACCTTCGACATGATTGATGCTGACACAATCTGCAAACTTTCGTGAGCCAAACTGTGATGCATATTTGTGTAGTCAAATCATATGGAATCATATACCTAAACAAAAATTTCAAACAATATAACCTTCATATTGGATTATAATAGGCTAATATGATACACATTTTAGTTTCCTAACATGTGTTTATTTAGTGAAATCTATTCAAGATATCATTAAATCGAACAGGATTATTTGGCAAATGGTGGATCATCCTTGACTTTTGTTCAGAGAACAAATATTCCAATAGAAAAACAATTCTCCTTCCTATGTTCATTCACAGTCCAACTTCAAATTAGAACTTCTCATACATTCATACATGATATATACGTATTCCAACTGCAGTAGTAGAGTCCATGAGCCATGCAGCTGAAACAAGAGAAGAAGTCCCCACCGACGCCGGAAAGATGAGGCTCAGCTTCCGGTTTCCCAATCCTTCCATGGATTCTTCAGCTGTTTGATGACTATGTCTATATACGTGCAAAACACGGACCCACACGCCGAAGACCGCCACCTTCTCAGGGTCGTCGTCGTGCTCATTAGTATGCTTCCTTATCCCAAGGTAGGCGAAGTAGGAAGCTGCCAACCACTCTCCAACATGGGTGACGTCGACTCGGCGTTGCTGCAAATCCAGAGGTGGAGTTGGTGCGCAACCTAATGGCGCCCCTTGGATTTGCTGCTATCGTACTGCTCTTTTGTCTTTTTGACTGGTAATCCATGTGCAACGCAACAATATCTACTGCAACTATCTCTTGTCTCATTAAGTCTCTATATATGTTCTCTTCTTCTCTCTCTTTGGACTCCATAGCCCAACCTCAGGCTGCTTGCCACCGACGGGAAGAGGAAACAACCAGCGTCTGCCTCCGACGACTGCATTGCGGTGAGCAAACTCTCTGCCGCGGTCCATGATTTGATCCCTCATGGAGATTGGCGCCTTCATGATCGGACATCGAGATCCAGCCGGATCAAGATCTCGGTCCAATTAATATTTGTTCTTTAGATCTTCTTGTCTGTGGTCGGTGCAATCATAGAGGTACTGATCCATGGATAATGGTTTGCAGGAAGGCCGGGGTAGGCACTTGAACCACACTGTGGCGAGTGAGAAGCGATGGGCTCGGCAACGGAGAATGGCACCCTTCGCTACTACTTCGACCACGAGTCTGAGTCCGAGTCCGACGGTGGGCGGTCGGTCGGACACAGCGGCCCTCTCGGCGGCCCTTTGGCGTCAAAGAAAGCCGGCAAGAAGCGAAGCGCGAGGTTCAAGGGTGACGACAACTACGTGGAGATAACGCTCGACGTCAGGGACGACGCGATCGCGATTCAGAGCATCCAAAGTGGTGACCCGGAGGCGGCGCTGCTCGCGAAGAACCTGGAGAGGCGCTCCCCGATGGTGGGCGCGAGCCTGTCGTCCAAGCTGAAGCAGGTGGGGCACGAGTTCCGCCGCATGACCTCCTCCTCGAGGCGGGCGGAGCGGCTCGACCGGACCAAGTCATCTGCGGCTCAGGCCATCAAGGGCCTCCAGTTTGTGGCCAAGAACGTCGCGAGCGAGGGCTGGCCGCAGGTCGAACGACGGTTCGACGAGCTCGCCGTCGATGGGGTGCTTCTCAGGTCGAGGTTCGGAAAGTGCATAGGTAATCGACTCTCGAGCACGATGAGCTTTTACTCATATGGCTTCTCTATAGTTCTAATCATCACCGCACGAACAAGCAAAGACAGAGGAGCTACATCAGTCTAAATTGCAGTTAGCCTCTGAGAATTGCAGGAATGGTGGGATCCGAGGAGTTCGCGGGCGAGGTATTCGATGCATTGGCACGAAGGCGGGGAATCACCGCAGCTGTGCTAACGAAGGAGGAGCTCTGGGAGTTCTGGGAACAGCTCTCCGACCAGAGCTTTGATGCGCGTCTTCAGACCTTCTTTGACATGTAAATTTCCGGTGCTCTGTTCTTCTCGTGGCTGAACACCTCAATCCTCCACTAAATCATCCGGTTGTGTAGTCGAATTATCCTTGAAAGTTGATTTCGTGATCTGACTTCAAAGCATGATGTTGACCCGAACACAGGGTGGACAAGAACGCAGACGGCAGGATCACAGAGGAAGAAGTCAGAGAGGTGTGTGTCAAAATGCTCTGCTTCGCGCTTCCTCACAAAAATGTCATCTAATTCGCCATTCGATGAACTTTTGCTTCAGATCATCGCCCTCAGCGCTTCCGCGAACAAGCTGTCGAGGATCCAGGAACGCGTCGAGGAGTACACAGCTCTGATCATGGAGGAGCTCGACCCCAACAATTTGGGCTACATCGAGGTCTGCACATCCAGAAACCAGCACTGTCGTTATCCCTTGTTACTGTCACCACTCACGGTCGAAATCCTTTGCAAGCAGCTGTACAACCTGGAGATGCTGCTGCTCCAGCCAGCAGTGCAGCCATCGGCCATGCTCTACGCCAACAGCAACAACCTCAGCCAGATGCTCAGCCAGAAGCTGGTGCCCACCAAGGACAAGAACCCGGTCCGTCGCTGCTGCCGGCGGATCTCCTACTTCATGGAGGACAACTGGAAGCGGGTCTGGGTGATGGCCCTGTGGCTCTCCATCTGCGCTGGCCTCTTCACCTGGAAGTTCATCGCGTACCGTCGTCGCGCCGTCTTCCACATCATGGGCTACTGCGTGACCACCGCCAAGGGCGGCGCAGAAACTCTCAAGTTCAACATGGCCCTCATCCTCCTCCCTGTTTGCCGCAACACCATCACATGGCTACGAAGCAGGACCAAGCTCGGAGTCATCATCCCCTTCAATGACAACATCAACTTCCACAAGGTAACCGGTAAATCAGCCGAAAACCTCTCGAGTCCCCAGAAGCTAACGTCGTCGGATTCGATGATCAGGTGATTGCAGCCGGCATCGTGGTCGGCGTCGCGCTCCACGTCGGGGCTCACCTGACCTGCGACTTCCCCCGGCTGTTGCACGCCACCGACGCGGAGTACGAGCCGATGAAGCCCTTCTTCGGGGAGAAGCGGCCGCCCAACTACTGGTGGTTCGTCAAGGGGACCGAGGGGTGGACCGGGGTGGTCATGCTGGTGCTCATGGTGATCGCCTACGTGCTGGCCCAGCCCTGGTTCCGCCGCAACCGGTTAAGCCCCACGAATCCCCTGCGCCGGCTCACCGGTTTCAACGCCTTCTGGTACTCCCACCACCTCTTCGTCATCGTCTACGTGCTCTACGTCGTCCATGGCGTATGCCTCTACCTCATCAAGAAGTGGTACAAGAAGACGGTGCGTTAATGGCGGGCATCAGGGATTTGTTTACATGTAGTCTTTGTGTAGACGATCGATCTGACCCTCCTTCCTTAATAACGCAGGCGTGGATGTACTTGGCCATCCCTGTCACATTGTATGCATGCGAGCGCCTTCTCCGTGCCTTCAGGTCCGGCCACAAGACAGTGAGGATTCAAAAGGTATAGACTTTGCTTCCCTTTTTCTATTGCAATAGTAGCAGTCATGGGCTCATGTGAGCCTCTGTCTCTCTATATATAAAAGATGATGCAGCTTCTGAAACTTCATCTTCTTTCCTGTTTGCAGGTTGCTGTGTACCCAGGAAACGTTTTGGCTCTCCGCATGTCCAAACCTCAAGGTTTCAAGTACAGGAGCGGGCAATACATCTTCCTTAACTGCGCCGCGGTGTCACCGTTCGAATGGTAATCTACATCGATGTACGTTGACTTTGACTGGGATTGCACTGATCAAAGTCTTAATGTCGAGGACTGCATGATTTCTTTGGACAGGCACCCCTTCTCCATCACTTCGGCTCCGGGAGACGACTACCTCAGCATCCACATCCGCACAAGAGGCGATTGGACTTCGCAACTCAGAGCCATATTCTCACAGGTAGGAGAAGTCGCAGCAGTCACGGAGAACGCGGCTTTGCTTTCGCTAACACTGCTATCGGAATGCAACAGGTGTGCCAACCTGCAAAGAGCGATCAGAGCGGACTCCTCAGAGCTGATGTCATGCCTGGAGGAAACAACCCCAGGTACAGTAAATCCCTACGTTTCAGCAGCAACTCGCACCGTCTCTGTCGTCTTACCATGCGTCGTCCTGCTGTGTATTAGATTGCCGAAGCTTTTGATCGATGGGCCTTACGGTGCTCCTGCTCAAGACTACGAGCACTACGATGTCCTACTGCTCATCGGACTCGGCATCGGAGCCACTCCTCTGATCAGCATCGTCAAGGACGTGCTCAACAACGTCGAGCAAAAGAAGACGACGGCGGCGGCGGACGTGGAGAGCGCGACCAAGGCGAAGAAGAAGCCCTTCATGGCGCAGCGCGCGTACTTCTACTGGGTGACTCGGGAGGAGGGCTCGTTCGAGTGGTTCCGGGGCATCATGAACGAGGTGGCCGAGAAGGACAAGGACGGCGTGATCGAGCTGCACAACCACTGCACCAGCGTGTACGAGGAAGGCGACGCCCGCTCCGCCCTCATCGTCATGCTCCAAGCCCTCCACCACGCCAAGAACGGGGTCGACATCGTCTCCGGGACGCGCGTCAAGACGCACTTCGCCAGGCCCAACTGGCGCAACGTCTTCAAGCGCATCGCCATCAATCACCCGAATCAACGCGTCGGTAAGCCTCCAGATATCTCTCTCGATCGAATCCCTTCTCACCGTTCTTCTCGGAAACAATCTGACATTTGACCGTGTTACGATTCAGGAGTCTTTTACTGCGGAGACCCGATGGTGATCGGAGAATTGCGACGGTTGTCACAGGATTTCTCGCACAAAACAAGCACAAAGTTCGTCTTCCACAAGGAGAACTTCTGATGCTGTCAGCTATTCTTTGTAATCCCTTGAGATGTTCCATTTTTCTTCGTCGAAGTTGTAGAAATTTACTTATGTAATTATTTTATATTACTTATGTAATAACAAAATCATCCTTGGTTGCAATTTCTTTGTGATCAATTGAATTCATTTTTTCTGTGTTTTCATATATATATATATATATATATAATTTATTTTTTTTATAATAGATGAATATTACCATATGTATATTCAAGTGCATGATGGATATTAACTCTAGCTAATAGTTACATACAAATAATTGATATTAACTCTAGCTAATCATGATTAACCTAAATTTTTTGGATGAATGTTAACAAAAGGGATACTTTTGTGAAGGCTCTTAATATTTGTAATAATTATAGAGGTTATATTACAATTTATATTGGCTAATACATCATTTTAAACTCTTATATGATAGATATGTGATATCCCTAATTTAATTTAAATAAACCAATGTAATGGACCGGATTGATCCATGTAAAAACTCAGGAACAACGGGCCGGGCTTGACCGGACAAAATCAAGACGAACCGAGCCGGGCCGGGCCGGGCTGGTTTGGTTTCAAATCGCCGCGGCGTCTTCCCTTTTTATCTCATCCATGTCTGCGTGTGAGGAAGATGGCTCACCAATACATTCGCGGCCTCACTCTCATCCCGCAAAGATAAGGCTGCATACACGACCCCCCCCCACCCCCCTCCCTCTCTCTTCGTCGGAGAGAGACGAAGACGAAGCAGAAGAAGAGGTAGAGGTCGGCCCCAAAGAAGGTGCTCGTTTCTTAACCTGCGTCCATCACCCGGCTTCACTGTTCCCATCCCATCCTTATCTGTTCGACTTCTTTTGTACTGCCGCAAGTTGTGTTTTTTTATCCTAAAGTCCTCTTCTTTCTGTGCATTTCTTGTTTCAACTGGGATTTGATTGGAAATCGTTCCAGAAATTGGAAAGAAACCCCATTTGGAATTTGGAAAGGAGATTCTCTTGTGGAAGTTACGGTTTTCTAGTTCTGGTTGGATTTGCTGGCATCAAAATTGTGTGAAACGTGAGATTGAGAAGGCGAAGGGCGCTAATTAGTTGATTCATGACACAAGTTGGTTGTTTTCTGCATGTTCTCTGACCTCACTTCCCGAAATACTTACTTGGAGATTTACAAGTGCCAAGGTTGTGAGTGTTAGTGGGAATTATGTGTTTGGAATTTTAGGTGCTACTTGTTGAGCACGAGAGTGTGGAAGCTTTGCTGCTTCCCATTACAGTAGTGATCTAACTTTGTGTTTGAAGTAATATCAGTTGATATGAAAGAAGTGTTGGCAACAGGTCTCTGGAAAATAAGAAAATACCTCCTTTCCTTCTCTCACACTGGACACAGACACAACATCAGAAATCCCTTTTCTAGATTTAATTTTTATTGTTATAAAGTGTCAAATGCATGATTAGGATTTAAAAGACTTGCAGGTGCGTAATGGTTGGAGGTGTGTAATTATTGTGTAAGCTATTAAAGATGGAATACATGACAATTTTCATATGCTATATCTTCCATCAGTATACTATGAAGTGCCAGTTCTAGAATCTAAGCACAAACACTGCCAGCTATAGATGACAGATCTGTAAATGAAGAATAATATTTGAAGTTGTATGAATGGAAGGTATCACGGGCTGACTCGATGGAATAATCGATCTATTAACTTTGTTAAGCCTGAGCCATTGAACCAAGATGCTCAACTTCAGATTAATAATAGTACAACCACTAAGTCTTTGTAAATCAACTTAAGCCTTTTTTCTACTTTCGAGATGAGGCTAAATTAGGGGAATTATATTTCACTACACATGTAGGGACTTTACCTTTATAGTTATTGTGAAAAGAAATTGTTCATCCATACTCGTAATATGCATCTAAAAACCTACCCTGACACCTGTTAATATTTTGATCCTTGCCAGTGCATCTAAAAATTTAAGCTTCTAGATATGACAGATTTATTCATTTATATCAAGAAATTGTATCATGTAGAAATCACAACTCTAAAATTCAGAACCATTTTGACAATGGGATCTCCATCAACATGTGATTCTTAGAGAATTACTTTATCTTAGACATGAGTTTTTGATCATTCAACAAGTTAATACCTGCAACTTTTCTTTCAAAGAATTTGGGAATATTTATTTGCAATCTTCAGTTTCTTTGTTATAGATTACCGGATCCATGGGATAGTAAGTATCTAAATTATAAGACAAATTTTGTGTACATGAGTGCGAAGCTTAATGATTGTTAAATCTAGTGCTAGATTAAAAATCAGATATGAGAGGTACAGACGATTGACTGCCTGAGAAGATTGATTGACAAGTGGAGGAGAATTGAGATGGCATGAGAAAGTGCCAGAAATCTAAGGATAAAGTGGAAAGAGATGTAATTTTATATGTGTCTAGATAAGATAAATGTGTGTGTATTAAAAGGTACAAGAGCTTAGCATCACTAGTTTCTTTATGTTTTAGTGAGCACTTGATATGCCACAGAATATTCATAATCTGTAACCAGATAGTGGATAAGTGTTTTTTGTTATTGCTTTTGTTGGATATTTAATTTCTTAAAAAAGTCTTAGCATTTATAGCATGGATCCGAGAATTTGTGACATCTTGCTGATTACTTCTGCTAGTGGAGATTCTTGTTCGCATGGCTAGTCTCATGGTTGTTTTATTATCCTCTTAGGAGTCACAGAATCTAGTTGGTCTCAATGGAATTATGTGTTATTTCCTTATTTAGCTCAAGTTTCTGCATTTCTTATGTAATATAACAAAAAGATCAAATTGTTCTTTTCAGCAGGTATCAAATAGATGCCAGCATGATTTCTACATCCAATTTGTCGCCAAAGTGTTGTTGTTGTTATTGTTTTTTTAAGAATTGACCCAGTTAACATAATTTCTGCAATCTATGCTTTGTGCAGGTCGAAAGAGAATTTGGAGCCAAAACTTTTATTTCAGATAATACTTCCTGAAGCAGAAGGTTTCATTCAAGATGACTCCTGTAATTCATTGTACTATAGGCAATATCACTCTGGTTCCTCGAATTGTTTTCAGCCCAAGGAAGGAGATACACTTAACAAGATGTGATACTTCTGAAAAGGACACCAGGCTTAAATCATCTCAAAGGTTTCTGTTACCACATTCATCATTGAGACTGATTCAGCTACACACCAGTCGCTTTTGCCAAGGAATTCGAACGGTAGCAGATGTTGGTACTGATTTAACTGTAGAAGAACCAAATCCTACTGTTTCAGGGAATGTTGCTGATGGAAGCTCAGAAGCACCATCTAGTTCTGATGAATCAAGTGAACCTGGTCCACCAAATCCAACTACCACTTCTTCTAGTAAAACCAAACGCACTAGACCTGTGAGGAAGAGTGAGATGCCTCCTGTGAAGGATGAGGAAATAGTTACAGGTGCTTCATTTATAGGAAAAGTAAGATCAATTCAGCCGTTTGGTTGTTTTGTGGACTTTGGAGCCTACACGGATGGTCTGGTACATGTTTCCAGGATGAGTGATAGTTATGTCAAGGATGTTGCGGCTGTTGTTTCTATTGGACAAGAGGTGAAAGTGAGAATTGTGGAGGCCAATAAGGAGACTAGACGAATCTCTCTAACAATGCGTGATACGGATGACACAGCTAAAATCCAACAGAAAAAAGAATCTACATATGAAAGTAGTGAAAAGCCAAGACCTGTCAGGAAAAATACTTCAAGGTCAAATCAGAAAAGAGAGGAGAAACAAAAGAGCTCAAAGTTTGTTAAGGGGCAAATTTTGGATGGGACTGTGAAGAACCTCACAAGATCAGGGGCTTTTGTGTCACTTCCTGATGGAGAAGAAGGATTTCTTCCTGTGGCTGAAGAATCTGAAGGGTTTGGTGGCATTTTAGGGAGTTCGTCACTGCAGGTCGGCCAAGAGGTTAATGTACGGGTATTGCGCATTAACAGAGGGCAGGTAACTTTAACAATGAAAAAAGAAGAAGATGTTGAAGGGTTAAACATGAAACTTAATAAAGGTGTGTTGCATGTAGCAACGAATCCATTTGAGCTGGCTTTCCGCAAGAACAAGGAAATTGCTTCTTTCTTGGATGAACGAGAGAGAACACAAAAATCTCTGGAAACGATGGAGCAGACAGTAGGAGAAGTTGATGAAATATTAGAAAGTTCTAATACTTCTGTCGTTGATAATTCAGCAAGTAGTGATGATACGCAACTCATTGATTCCTCTGATTCAACTACTGAGGCTGACAATGAGAAATCTGTTGCTGAAGTGCTTCACGAGGAAACTCTTCCTGTCGATCCCGTTTCAAATAATTTGGAGAACACGACTGAGGAATTGTCTCAGATTGCTGATATAGTTGCACAAGAGGATGAGAAAAGCTCCAAAATCTTGAATCAGTCTTCTCAAGATTCAATTCCAGTTGTGATCCCTGCAAAAGATAATATAGAGGAGTCCTCCAACTCTGTAGAGGAAGAAAACATAACTTCAGAAATAGTTTCAGAGGGAGGTGAATCTTCTGCCAACAATTCGTTAAATCCAGCAGTGGACGAAGCTTCTTTAACCAATGCAGGTAAAGAAGTAACTAGTAATATTCAAGCTTCAAAGGAAATTGACGGAGTTTTGACAGCTAATAGTTCAGTAGAAGCTGAGGCTTCTGTAATTGGAGTGAAGGAAACTGATGTGACAACTGAAACTCTTGAGCAGGACAAACAAAGTTTGGAAACTCCAAGCTCAGAAGAGAAAGAGGACCTTGTAGATTCTGTGCAAGTTGAAGATTCTCCTGGAGAATTAGAGACAAAAAATGATGCTGGAATTCTGAATGATCAAACCTTATCTACGGAAGCTGTGGATTCAGTGGTCATTTCTAGTATCCAATTAGATAGCACTGTAGCTACTGAAGATGTGGCACAAAAATCAACTATACTGGCTGAGAATGAGACCGTTGCTGCCAAATTACATGATGCAAAAGCCGTGGCTGGTGGAAACTTAAGTGAGCAAACTGGCCCTTCTGACATAGGAAGCTCCATCAAAGGTTTGAAAGTTTCCTCATTTGGGTACATCTTCAGATAAAATTCCTTTTCCAGTAAAAGTTTCTTGGATAAT